AGCGATCTGTTTAAGAAAACAAATAACATTCCAGTAATAGACAGTGATAGTGAAGAAGATTAAATAAATCGTAGGTGTAGGGTGTAATGAGAGGCGAGGGGTCTTACATTCAAAAAGCACCCTGATTTTACGGAAAATAGAGGCGTGAGTACGTTACGTAGTGAGAGGCGAGGGGACTCACGTTAAAAAAGCACCCCGATTTTACGGAAACGTAGTGAGAGGCGAAGGGACTCACGTTAAAAAAGCACCCTGATTTTACAGAAACGTAGTGAAAGGCGAAGGGACTCACGTTAAAAAAGCACCCCGATTTTACGGAAATATAGTGAGAGGCGAGGGGACTCATCACGTTAAAAAAGCACCCCGATAAGGAGTTTAAAACCGTACTGCAACCTCCACGTGGTAAACTCTGGAAACTATGAAAATTAAAAAGTATACATATTATAGGCTAATTGCAGACGTACATATGTGCTATTAAAGTCACATCGAACACCCGCAACGCGAAATGGCACTGCACTGTGCGCCGGAGAGACGCGACGCTTACGATTTTCGTATTTTTAACTATGTTCCATTATTTTAAAAAAATTGAAAAAAATATATGTTATAGTGGACACTTTAAGAGAAATTTTCATAAAAATTTCAAAGAGGTACCTCGAAAATATCACCCTAAAAAAAATATTAAAGAATTCAAGTATTTTAATAAAGGAAAAAAGGCCGGTAATCGAGCAGTTATTAGGTGTTAAATCATGTAATTAATTAATGTATACAAAAGGCGGAACGTTTCAACTACACCGAGTCTTCATCAGCCGCAATATAAAATAACATATTTAGATTAACTTAATAATTCTAAACCTATAGAGCCACATCAACGTTCGAAAATCTGACGAATAACATTACGTTTGTGTCGTTGCATCTATGAAGTCAAAGGTAAAACCGAAGATAAAATGTGGTCAGCGACATTGTATAATCAATTCCTCGTTCAAAGGCGGGAATAGATCGGGTTCTAGATCAACACTAGACATCACAATATTAAAAACCTCACTAAAATACGTAATCTTGTTATCCCACAGTTACATAATTTCTTACATACGAAATCGACTAGTGACATAATCAGCAATAAATTATTTTTAATGCAAAAAATAACCCAACGGTTTTGCACTGAACATGACGATATTATTTTCACAAGGAGTGACAAAGGCAACGCCACTGTAGCTTTAAATAGGAATGTTTATATACAAACTATTGGAAACATGTTAAATGACACCAATACGTACACGGTGATCTCTAAAAATCCGTCAAAACAAATAGAAAATAAATTGAATAACCTACTAAAAAGACGGCACCTGAAGGACTACATTTCCAAGCAAGATTTGTATAAAATCCGTTCTAGCGATTCCCTCCTACCTAAAGCTTATGGTCTCCCGAAGATTCATAAAGAGAACCACCCATTCAGAATTATAGTTTCTTCCGTAAACACAGCTTTATATGCCTTCGCTAACTTTCTACATGATATAATCTCGAAAAGCATTTCTCATGCGGTTGGTCACGTAGATAATAGTTTCGACCTGTACAAAGAACTTTCTAATAAAAAAATCTCTAACTCGGATGTCCTGGTCTCATTAGATGTAACGTCGTTGTTCATCAACATTCCTCTAGATCTCGCAATCAAAGGGGTTAGCAATCGTTGGCAATATATAAGTAACAAAACAAAAATACCGAAAAAAGAATTCTTACTAGCACTCGAGTTCGTTTTAACTTCCACATATTTTACTTTTAATAACGTGATATACAGGCAAACCTACGGTGCACCTATGGGATCGCCACTATCCCCGATAGTTGCTGACGTAGTAATGCAAGATCTAGAGGATACAACATTGAGATTGATTAATTTAACTCTGACTTTCTACCGTCGTTATGTTGACGATATAATAATGGCAGCACCTTCTGATAAGATACAGTATATTGTAGACATTTTCAACAGTTATCACGAAAGACTTAAGTTCACTGTGAAATATGAGGTAGACCGCAGTTTGAATTTCTTAGATCTGTCCCTGCACGTTATTGACAATGTTCTATACATAGATTGGTTCCTTAAGAAAACGTGCTCTGGTAGATATCTGTCTTACTACTCGGGTCACCCGGAATGTCATAAGATAGGTACAATATTCGGCCTAGTTGACAGAGCTATCCTGCTATCCCACCCTATGTACCACACAAAAAATTTGGAAAAAATTATTGACATGTTGCTACACAATGGTTATCCTCTCGAATTAATCTTTAGGAAAGTCAATCTAAGATTAAAATACCTGTTTAACTGTAAGCTCAAACATACAAACGAAATTGAATCAGTAAGTCAACATAGTGATAACACGGCACAGGGTAAAAAATTTATTGTTATTCCATTCATAAAAAACATATCCAACAAAGCTGCCCATTTACTTAATAACGAAGAACATACGGTAGGATATAGAGTTTTGAACAATCTCGGCAAGTTCGTCAAGGCACAAAAAGACAAAAATCCGGACAATTTAAATAACAATGTAATATACAAAATATCGTGTAAAGACTGCAGTGCCTCCTACGTAGGACAAACTAAACGACAATTAAGAACTAGGTTGAACGAACATAAAAACAATATCAAAACGTATCAAGTCTCACCTTTATGCGTGATACCGTTAAAGATAAGGATTAAGCTATAAATCTAAGAAGAGTACTAATTCAGTACTAGTTCAAGCTTAAGAGAGTACTAGTTCAATAAACGAAGATTGTATCCTTAAGCCAGAATTACGCTCTCGATCTATTGTTGACCGTATGGCCTACGGGTGTGGGCTTTGTATTCTACCCGGTGCCATATAATATAATTTCGAAGAAGAAGAAGAAAAGCTATCCACGTTTTCCCGCGGATCTACGCACGTGTTTACTCCAAGGCGTAGCCGGCAGTCCGTGTGACGAGAAGACGCGAACGCGAGAAAACAATCGGTTTCAGAACGCGCTTTTTCTTTTATTCTCTCTCAATCGAGTACGCGAGTGCGGTTCCGGGCGGGAAAAATCTTTCGAGATTTCTCTTCTCGCGCAACATCACGCGGGAGTTCGGTATCGCGATCGCGTAGCGCGTAGCCATGCGGTGGGTATCGACGCGTGCCGCGCGTGCGGCGTGCGTGCGTGAACGGCGCGTCGACTGCGCATTTTGAAGATGGCCATTTTGGCGGGTGACGTGTTGCGTGCGCGCCGCCGAGCGGCCATAACACGATTCGCGGCGTGAACGGCGTGCACGCGCGACCTCCCGTCGTTATGAGAAGTGCGCGGTCGCGTGCACGCGATCGTCGAGGACACCGAGAACCGGAGCCGGCATGACGAAACGTTGGGGAAACGCGATCGGCGGGCGTACCGCCCGACGGTAAACCACCGTGGACTCGCCGCGTACGATTTTCCGCCGCGTTTAGGAGTGTGTGTGTGTAGGTGAGAGAAGGGGAGGGGAGTCAAGGCACTATGGGAGCAATTTGCGACAGGCGCATGCGCAGATCAGTTTACAGTTGGAGCTTGAAAGAAAATGGCGTCAGCTGAGTTTCTGGAGGAAGCTCTAAGCACGGATGTCGACGAATCCGCAGTGAACGCGATAGTGGGCTCCCTCGAGACGCAGCTTGTGACGTCCACGCCGACCATCGCCGGCCATCAAGCGAGCACCGCATCGGTCAGCCAGCAGAATCACCAGGTGAACAGCGCTATTTCCAACGGGGGCACCATCACCGCGGTGCAGCCACAGAAACATGGGGTTCCGAACGGCGGCGGTGCAACTACCGTGAACAGTCTGATAACTCAGGAGGTCACCAAGTCGATCACCACCAGCACTCTGCTGCCCGTGAACGTGGTTACATCGAACACAGTGGCGCCACAGGTCATCACCACGCAGCAGCAGCAGCAGCAGCCGCAACCACAGCAGCCGCAACAGCAGCAGCAACAGCACGCACAGCCGCCAGGGATACCTGCCGTTACGTACATCAATCAAGTAACGACCAACCAAGTATCCAGCAATCAGACCACGCATATACCGAGCTTGACCAAGACGCACGAACCGGTGAAGCTCCTCTATTCCGGGGTCGGGCAAGTTATAGCTACCACGGGGGTGGCGAATACAAACAATAAGCTCTCCTTTCCCGCTCAAACTGTCGGGCAGTTAGCGAACGGTACTTTAGGTATAACGTCGCAGGCAGTGCTGCAGACTACGTCGAACGTTGTTACCAATGTCGGCTTCGTCAGCCAGGCAGCCAGTCAAACAGTGACCACAGTGAATAAGCCGACGGGGGCAGCTTTAGTGATCAAGACCAGTGCAACGCCTGGCATGGTTTCAGTTCCAATGTCTGTCCCGGTCTCGGTGGCTGGCAACGCGGTCAACACAGCGTTGCAGGCTAAGACTGGGGTTACCTCGACGATAATACCCAGTAATGTTCAAATCCTCAATGTAAATGCGATGCGTCCCGCCACCCCGGTAGCGGGGCAGCAACCTAATAAGCAGGTTACGCCAAGAGTGGTGATTGGACAACAGTTGGTTGGAGCAAGAGTTGGAGGTCCAGGGATAACTTTACAGGCACTTTATAGCCTTCAAGCTGGTACTCAAGGTCATCTGTTATTAAAAACAGAAAATGGACAGTATCAGTTATTGAGGGTGGGTCCAGCTCCAACTGCGGGTACTCCTACTGGTACTGCAGTTACACCGAATAATATAACTGGCAATGCGGTAGTCGCTGCACCATTTCCAGGCACTACCTACCGCCTAACTTCAGTGCCGACTGTAAGTAGGCTGAATACTCAGTTCACTGTCCCACCACTCGCCACCCTAAGAAAATCTGTTCAGACTGTTGCTCCTACTATTACTACATCTACTACAACTCCAGGAACAGT